CCAATATTTAAAAAGACAAAATACAATCTCAATCTTGATCCGGGGTACGGTGTTTACACATTTCATAAGTCAAATATTGGATGGATTCCATCCATAACTATCACTATACATTATATTATACAATACTATATAATCGTCTACATTTCTATACCATTGAGTCCATTTCTGGTGTTTAAGCAACTATAGCCTATTATCGTACTTTTATCCTATTCTTTAACCAATTATACCAAATTCCCCATACTTCATAGTGCTTAGAATTTTCTTCATTTTTTAGCTCGTTTGTCAGTTTAGCCATCTCTGCGCACTCTAGGATTTTATTTATTAATGTTTCCTCAGAGGGGGTAGATTTAGATTTCCAAAGTTTCGCAAAGGCTATTCTAGCCGCAGTAATAATTTGAATTGCCAAATGGGTTTTATTATTGTTGAGACCATCTTCCGTCATACCTAAGAGAAAGAATTCCGGGGCCAGGACTATCTCCTCAGATGCTAACTTTACATCTGGTTCGCTGAACCGGTAGTTGCAAGGACTGGCTGACCCTGCCCACCCTACCCCTCCCTTCCAGGAGTCTCCACGCAGCCCGTTTTGGATGCTAGATAAGTGCAGGGCCCGTGCGGAGGCTCTGGGAGGGGGAAAAACAGGCCTCCCAAAAGTTCCGGAAGTCTGGAAAAGTGCCTGTGTCCGGCCTCTGGAGGGCCTCCAGAGCCCGGGGGAGGCCGTTTTCGCCCTCCCGGAGGCTCGAGGATAGCCTCTGGAGCTAGGGGGTCCAAAATGCCCCCCCCCCCGCCATGGTGCAGGAGGCTGAGTAGGCCACACCCCCATGGCCATGCCCACCCAGCAACCAGGCAGAGAACCGGTTGCTAAAATTTTTCAATCCCACCCCTGGCTATATGCTGAGGCACACAGAATGCTGTTAGCTTAATACCGAAGTGATACCTATTTATCTACTCACTTTTTCATGCTTTCGAACTGCTAGGTGAGCCAAAGCTGGGGCAAGTAACAGGAGATCACCCCATTGTGCAGAATTTGGGTCTTGAACCTGGGCTGTCAGCTTCCCAGCTGACAAACTCAGCTGTTGTACTCCCCCATTCTTATTTAAATGGGCCCTTAAAACCTGGCCCTTAAAACATCCAACCCTGAGTTAAGATATGGTGCTGGTGGTACAGAGGAATGTGTTATGCTAAAAGAATATTTTTTTTTGTTTGCTTATTAGACTTATTTTAGCTCTACTCCAGAAATCTCTGGGCAATGGCAACATCCACTATACAATTAAATACAATTAAAAACAACTGCAAAGCAGCAAAAGATGACAGCCTGGATAAAAACAGGGACAGCAGTCAAAAAGTATGACAGAAGCTACACTAGCACTCTTAGCCCTGTTTTGTATAGTCCCAAGTGTTTTTAAGAATGTATGCTGCCCTGAATTGCTACAGGGTCAAGCAGCCGTAAAAATTGGAAAACTAAATTACCACAATAACAAAAATACAATAATAAAAAATAAAATTAAATAATAAAAATAATAAAAACAATGGGTATTATTGAAAAGACCAAGAACACCAAACAGAATTTGGGACTGGATTTTTACCTTATATCAGGAGTCTCTAAACATGGCAACTTTAAGACTTGTGGACTTCAACTCCCAGAATTCCCCAGACATATCCCCTGCTAGTGCTGGTTGGCTGGTTGGTTTTAAAAGCTACATTTTGACAATTCAGAATCAGAATAGAGTTGGAAGGGACCTTTGAGGTTTTTTAGTCCAGCCCCCTGCTCAAGCGGGAGATCCTATTCTTCTAGAACACAATAGGATGAGGGGATTGTTTGATCTCAGGAGGTGAACTATTCCATTAAAAAGGCTTTTGAAAAAGTTCTGTAGAAGTTGTGTAGAAGAAGGGATACGGTGGCTTGGTGGCTAAGACACTGAGCTTGTCGATCGAAAGGTCGGCAGTTCAGCGGTTCGAATCCCTAGTGCCGCATAACGAGGTGAGCTCCCGTGACTTGTCCCAGCTTCTGCCAACCTAGCAGTTCGAAAGCACATAAAAAATGCAAGGAGAAAAATAGGGACCACCTTTGGTGGGAAGGTGACAGCGTTCTGTGCACCTTTGATGTTTAGTCATGCCAGCTACATGACCACGGAGACGTCTTCGGACAGCGCTGGCTCTTCGGCTTTGAAATGGAGATGAGCACCACCCCCTAGAGTCAGGAACGACTAGCCCAGTGGTGGGTTTCAAAAATTTTTACTACCGGTTCTGTGGGTGTGGCTTTGTGGGCGTGGCATGTCTTTGTGGGTGTGGCTTTGTGGGCGTGGCAGGGGAAAGATACTGTAAAATCTCCATTCCCACCCCACTCCAGGGAAAGGTTACTGCAAAATCCCCATTCCCTCCCAATCAGCTGGGACTTGGGAGGGAGGCAGAGAATAGATGGTGGCGGGGCCAGTCAGAATTTTTACTACCGGTTCTCCGAACTACTCAAAATTTCCACTACCAGTTCTACAGAACTGGTTAGAACCTCTGTAACCCACCTCTGGACTAGCCCATATGTGCAAGGGGAACCTTTACCTTTACCTTTAGAAGAACTGAAGAAGCTTCTTAGATGAGAAGTGAAATGTCTTCAATGCAAAAACAAGAAAGTTCAGGTTCCTTTTGAAAAAGTACCTTTGGGACAACAATGACCTGGATGACTGAGAATTTCCATAGACTCTATGGTTGATTTTTCTCTGTCAGCCTCCAAGGTAGGCCAGATCAGGAAATAGACTTCTTAAAAAATACTAGAACTACCCTTTATTTATAGAGGCTGTATTAACAGAATCTTGAAAACCTGACTTGTGTTTTCTCTTCCCTCTTTCTTATACCTCAGGGAGCTAAGAAAGAACTAGAAAGATTGAGTTTCTTTCTAATGTTTTCTTTATTCCTGGACTTAATGTTTGTGTAATTGTTCCAGCATAGCTTCTCCAAGGTCATCTCTGGAGCACTCACATTCCATCCTTTTACTATTTCCCCAGTGTGGACCAGGTTTGCAATAAAGGTCCTGTGTAATGCCAACCAATATTAAGTGAAAATAGCCAGGATGTCTGCCAGTAAAGCTTTCTGCTCTGTAGGTGGGATGCAACAAGAAGAAAGGAAAGGATGTGACTCAGTGGTGAAATCCATTTTTTTTTTGCTACCAGTTCTGTGAGCGTGGTGTGGCTTGGTGGGCGTGGCAGGGGAAGGATACTGCAAAATCTCCATTCCCTCCCCACTCCAGGGGAAGGACACTGCAAAATCTCCATTCTCTCCTCACTCCAGGGGAAGGATACTGCAAAATCTCCATCCCCTCCCCACTCTTGGGGGAAGGATACTGCAAAATCCCCATTCCCTCCCCACTCCTGGGAGAAGGATACTGCAAAATCTCCATTCCCACCCCATTCTGGGGCCAGCCAGAGGTGGCATTTGCCGGTTCTCTGAAGTACTCAAAATTTCCGCTACCGGTTCTCCAAAACATGTCAGAACCTGCTGGATTTCAGCCCTCATGTGACTCAGAGGTGGCTCAGTTTTGAAAGAAAGAATGAAATCAACATTATTTTAGAGGCTATCTTGGTGTTAAGAACTTCAGAGTCCAAATGATGTAATAATTAGGGTTCCAGAGCACACTAGACTATAAAACCCAGTGGGTGCCCCTATTTTTCAACCCCAGTCTTTATCACAATCCTCTTAAAAAGATAAAATGGAGGAAACCTGTTCTGTCAACCGTATGTTGAAGGATTGAAGGAACTAGGTATGTCTAATCTAAGGAAGAAAAGGCTGTCACAGAAAAGAGAGGGTCGATCTATTCTCCAAAGCACCTGAGGCTAAGATAAAAAAATAATAGGTGGGAAGATCATTAAAGAGAGATCCAACCTAAAACTAAGGAAAAAATTTCCTGGCTGTGAAAACATTAAGCATGGAATGGTTTATTTCCAGAAATTTTGGGTGCCCCATCTCTGGAAGTTTTCAAGAAGAGACTGGGCAGCCATTTGTCAGAAATGGCATAGAGCTGTGATGGCAAACCTATGGCATGCATGCCGGAAGTGGCGTGCAGAGCCATCTCTCCGGCATATACACCAGCCATCGCCCATTGCTCTTCCGGGTTCTGGCGCACACATGCGCGCCAGCCAGCTGGTCTTTGTGTGCGCAGGAGTGCCAGAAACTGGAAAACCAGGTGACCGGTGCACATGTGCACACTGGAAACTGGAAGCTCAGCTTCCCGGTGCGTGCATGCACACTAGGGAACCGCTCTTCCGGTTTCCAGTGCTCCCACACATGCGCACCGGGGAGCTGCTCCTCCGGTTTCCAGTGCTTCCCGCACAAACCCGCACACTCCCGTTTCGGCACGGTGCCAAAAAGGTTCGCCAACACTGGCATAGAGTCTCCTGCATGAAGAGGGGCTGAACTAGATGACCTCCAAGTTCCCTTCCAATCCTATTATTCTGTGTTCTTCTCCCATAATGTACAATGGTTTAAGCTCCCAGAAAAAAAGATGACACATGGCAAATAATAAAATAAAGAAATGAAATGAAATGAAATAAAATAAAATAACCACTTGAGGTGCAGGGAGAAAAGTAAATGTGATTTCTTTCCCAGCAGCCTGTATCATAATGGGAACTTGTCAAGATTTCAAAGTGCAGCTTGGCAACAGCTGGAGGACACAAATTTCACATTCCCTTCTTATTGGATTCAAAACGTCTTTGCTTCACTCACCTCAATAGCAAAGGTCTCCAAACCTAGTTTCTCTCCAGATGTGTTGGACCGCAGCTCCCATGATTTCCAGCCAACAGAATGAACATGATGAGAATTAGAGCAACACATTTGGGATAGCATCAGTTTCACCCCAGCTGCTCTGGGAGAAGATATGCACGCAGCATGTGTGAATCTCTGCTTTCTCTTTCAGAACATCCTGCCTTAAATGTATGGTGTATATATAGATATTGGATTCAGTACAAATCAGGTCATTTAGGACAGGTAGATAGACCATCATGCTTCTAAATGTAAGGTTAAAAAAAAAAAGAAGGATTGAGATGTTAATGCCTCTTTCGTTCATCGAATATGCCATCTTCGGTTGCCTAGCAACTGATACAAGGCCAGTTGGATTGCAAGAGAGAACGCTGTTGATAGGCAAGAGTTGCTGTGTCAATTCAGGTGGGTTCAGGACCGAAATGTTCCATCCAGCTGTGGAATCCAAAGCCAGGGATGCTTCTTCTGAGGTCAGGTTGAGGCTTCGGTGAAGAAAGAAGATGGGAGCAGGGAAACCCTGCCAAAATAAGGAGGTGAGGAATTGTCAATCCTGCTGTTCGGGTGAACCTCATCGCTCCATCCGGCATAAAGTTTGTTGGGTGAGGATCTCCAGTGTGTGTGTGTGTGTGTGTGTGTGTGTGTGTGTTTTCCTGCACCAAAGCAATGGTTTTTTTTTTTCCTAGCTGAAGTTTGTTTCCATTTAATGTAATTATTACAGTAATAATTAATTAGGCGATATGGAATTTTTGGGACAGCATGACGACGGCGCCAGCAAAGCAGCAGAAGAGCGTGTTCTAAACAGATGCCATTCTGATTCAACTACAACACTGTTATTCTGCTTTTATCTCCCCAGACACTGAAGCTCCCCAAGTTATTCCAACAGTTTTTGGGGTCCATCACTTGGGTAAGTAAATGCATGGTGTATTGTCCTTTTGATCTTTGTAATTCTCTACGTTTTTGGTTGCGTTTAGATAGTGCATGGCTAAATTATTGAAAACAGATGACACCTCCAGGTATGTTCTGAAGTTTACATGCCTTGGTTTATTATATTTTATTTTAAATGGATTACTTATATTATAAAGGGGTTCGGGCATATTGGTTCTCTGTTCATATTTTTGTTGTTGTTGTTGTTGGTCATTATCCTGAAATCTTAGCTCAAGAATCCATTTTGTTCCTGAGGGGGAAAAAAAAAAAGCAGCAAAGACAGAATCTCAGAAAAAAAGCTAGACATAAAAATAACATGCTCTTCTAGAAATACCTGGGCATTTTTTTTTCTTTTGATTTATACGTCAGGAAATTGCTCCAATGCCTATTTGATACTCAAGTCATTTCCTTTCCAATTTGACCTTGATCCAATTTTTCTATGAAGTGGCTAATTTAGAGCTTTGGAATTCAGTCCTAAAACATTCTATCCTCCAAGATAGAACGATTAATTAAAATAATATTCAGGCATGCCTCGTAATATCTTTTCTTTGGTACAAATTGCTGTCGCTAGTGTGGTTTTAGTCATTTTAATATCTATAAACTAAGCAACGAAACGTCTTCGTGAAGTTCCTTCCCTCCATGTAGATTAAGCTATTAATTCCTATGTTTTGTCCTGAGACTCTCAAAGCCAATCTCTCTGAATCCCACATTTGTCATGGCATATGTCCCCTTTGACTAAATTTCTAGCTCGTCTGTAGTTTTTAAGACCTGACCCAGTTTATTAGGTTTCCAAGATGGTCCGTTATGATCCCTTCTAGGACAACAGTCCTCCATTTCTTTATGGAAGCCTTCTGTTGGTTAGAAAGGAATGAGGAACTTGAATTCACCCAGATGTTTATTGAAAACTCCCAACATTGTTGATCCTTGCTATATTTATTTAGAATGAATGAACTGGAAGGGACCGTGGAGGTCTTCTAGTCCATTCCCCTGCTTAGGCAGGAAACCCTACACCACTTCAGACAAATGGTTATCCAACATCTTCTTAAAAACTTCCAGTGTTGGAGAATTCACAACTTCTGGAGGCAAGTTGTTCCACTGATTAATTGTTCTAACTGTCAGGAAATTTCTCCTTAGTTCTAGGTTGTTTCTCTCCTTGATTAGTTTCCACCCATTGCTTCTTGTCCAACCCTCAGGGTTGGAGAATAGCTTGACTCCCTCTTCTTTGTGGCAGCCCCTGAGATATTGGAACACTGCTATCATGTCTCCCCTAGTCCTTCTTTTCATTAAACGAGACATACCCAGTTCCTGCAACTGTTCTTCATATGTTTTAGCCTCCAGTTCCCTAATCATTTTTGTTGCTCTTCTCTGCACTCTTTCTAGAGTCTCAACATCTTTTTTACATTGTGGCAACCAAAATTGGATGCAGTAGTCCAAGTGTGGCCTTACCCAGGCCTTATAATGTGATATTAACACTTCACGTGATCTTGATTCTATCCCTCTGTTTATGCAACCTAGAACTGTGTTGGCTTTTTTGGCAGCTGCAGCATACTGCTGGCTCATATTTAAATGGTTGTCCACTAGGACTCCAAGATCTACTATTGAGCAAGGTATCACCTATACTGTATCTGTGCATTTGGCTTTTCTTGCCTAAATCTAGAACCTTACTTTTTTCACCATGGAATTTCATTTTGTTAGATAGTGCCCAATGTTCAAGTCCGTCAAGATCCTTCTGTATTTTAAGCTTATCTTCTGGAGTATTGGCTATTCCTGCCAGCTTGGTGTCATCTGCAAATTTGATGAGTTCCCCATCTATCCCTTCATTCAAGTCATTGATTTGAGATAAGTGACTGTCTAGGCTGTCATGGCGTTCCCATGTAACACCTCTCCTGCGCGAGCTGCACTGGCTCCCGGTGGTCTTCCGGGTGCGCTTCAAGGTTTTGGTTACTACCTTTAAAGCGCTCCATGGCTTAGGACCCGGGTACTTGCGGGACCGCCTACTACCACCAATAGCCTCCCACCGGCCGGTACGCTCCCATAGAGAGGGGCTCCTCCGGGTGCCGTCAGCCAAACAATGCCGACTGGCGGCCCCCAGGGGGAGAGCCTTCTCTGTGGGGGCACCTACTATCTGGAACGAGCTCCCCCCAGAGATACGGAGGATCCCGGATCTGCGCACCTTCCGCCGCGCCTTAAAGACCTTACTATTTCACCAGGCCGGCCTGGCCTAATTTTCCCCCTCTTTTATAAAAGATTTTTAAAATTTTAAATATCTTTTAGTATTTATATATTCAATTTTAAATTGGTTTTAAAAGTTTGGGGTTTTAAATTTGTCGGGGCCAAAATTATTTAATTTGATTTTATTCTATTTTTTAAATTTTGTATTGTATGTGTTTTTATTGTTTGGCTGTGCACCGCCCTGAGTCCTTCGGGAGTAGGGCGGTATAGAAATCTAATAAATAATAATAATAATAATAAAAAATAATAGGCTCTTCCTAAAAACATCCAATGATGGAGGGCTCACAATTTCTGAAGGCAAGCTTTTCCCACTGGTTAATTGTCCTCACTGTTAGGAACTTTCTCCTTAATTCCAGGTTGCTTCTCTCTTTGATTGGTTTCCAACCATTGTTTCTTGTCTTGCCCTCTGGTGCTTTGGAGAATAATTTGACCCCCTCTTCTTTGTGGCAGCCCCTCAAGTACTGGCATACTGCTATCATGTCACCCCCCTAATTCTTCTGTTCTTTAGACTAGTCAAACCCAAATCCTGCAGCCGTTCTTGTTTTGGAGCTGCTGGAAACAATAGTCGAGATTAGAAGGTTCCAGATTCCTTATTCTTAGCCTAGAAAGATCTACTGATGGTGTACTGAAAAAGAAAGCTAGATTCCTTGGGAGAGCATGTGATTCATTCAATCAAAACGTGCTTCTGCACCAACTCTCTAGAAAAATAAATACTTTTTCAGCATCAGACTGTAGAGACACACAGAGGGAATTCACATGCACATATGGACATAAGATATATTCTATATATCTTATGTCCTATATATATATTCTATATAACAATTCTATATATATACAGAATTGTTGGCAATTTGTAATTATTTTCACTATCACCGGTGCTGAAGTTTCTCCATAAAATAAGATTAACTAAAGTTGTTATAGTTGGACACACTTAATAGCTTAGATTTACTTTGCTTGCTTCATTTTATTACATGTACAGCTATTACAATTATTGTACCTTTAAACCTATAACAATATAACAGCACAACATTTTGCCACTATAGATCAAAGTTTCCAGCTTTAGAACCGAAGACGTAACACCAGTTTCAAATGCTTAGTATAGATTTAAGCAAATATGCTATGGCAGCAAACACACTGGTTTTTATAAAATGGGAAAAGATTTCAGTTAAACAGCAACAACTTAGCTTATTCAGAACAATAACACTATGCAGACACAATACTTACAGACTTCCTTGCTTGAATTATGTGTGTTTCCTTGCAATGACAGATAAACTCTTCCTATTCATTGTTTAGAATCACCAGGCTTAAGTATTCATTCAGTTATAGCAGCGGTGAAATCCAGCAGATTCTGAAAGGTTCTGGAGAACCGGTAGTGGAAATTTTGAGTAGTTCGGAGAACTGGCAAATACCACCTCTAGCTGGCCCCAGGGGGGGGGGGGAATGGAGATTTTGCAAATATCCTTCCCCCAGGAGTGGGGAGGGAATGGGGATTTTGCAATATCCTTCCCCTGTCGTGCCCACCAAGCTATGCCCACAGAACCAGTAGGGAAAAATTTTGAATTTCACCCCTGAGTTATAGAGTTCATTGTATAGCTTTCAACTAGTCAAACTCTTTTTCTGTGAATTAAATCTCGTCCATAGATTTGTTATTCAGGGGGAAAGTGAGTTCTCTACCCCCTTCCCTCCCATGTACGCTCTTCAAAGATCTTTGAAAAAAGCTAGGATGGAAATACATGAACCAGCCAACCAACCAGTCAACCTGCCAACCAACCAAAAAAAGATGAGTGAGGAATTGCCCCATTGTCTTATTTCTCCCAATAGTATTTGAAGCTTGAGCTGATTGCATGCCGTGGCTAGGGATTCCTGTAGATTGATTGATTGATTTAGAGCAGACGTGTCAAACTGGTGGTCCACAAGCTGGATCTGGCCTGCGACAAGCTCAGAGTTGTCCTGCGGGGCTGCCACCAGTCAGCCACGATGACCAGGCCACGCTCATCCTGGCCCTCCAATGGCAAACACATTCTTAATACCGCCAACAATGGGATCGAGTTCGACAGCCCTGATTTAGAATATGGCATATCATACATGGCCTAGTGATATGTATTAACATTTCATCTAGATTAGAAGAACACAATAAAATATAAATGTTAAAAAGATCTACCTTTAAATACCAATGTCTAGGCCATCTAACCACAGCATCATTCATATTAAAAAAAAATCAGATGCTGGACTGATATATGCTCTCAGTTTACAGCCGGTTACGATGTGATATACTGTTTGACAGAGGACCTCACAGTCACACTGAGGAAAGGATACAAAGTCTTGGCAGATGCCGTGTGTGAGGTGCAAGTCCTATTCAGGGTTGTCCATTGCTGACTTGGTCATTCAAAGCCTGGCACCCCTTTTGTGGGGTCATTTTTATGCATCTTCCTATGACGTGTTCAGCGACTCATGCGGCTTTCCATTGGGAATTGATGTTAAAGTTGTTGGGCAGATGTTGTGCATGTGCCAGTGGGGGCTTCGCTTCCTGGATTTGAGTCTTCCTGCATGCACCGGTAGGAATAAGTTGTTCATAACACATAACCCTGTAGAGTTAGATCTTTTGAGTAAGAATCTGGGGAATGTCCTTCCAAGATTCCAAGAAGCACCAAGCTATAAAAGGCTGAAGTCATTTCCAATTTCATAGGCAAAGTGGTGCATTTCTAAAAATAAAGAGTGGCCATTTATGTCCTTCCGGCCAAAGTGCTT